TAATAAGTAATATATTTACTTAAAGCTTTCTAGCACAATTTGCAAAACAAAATTAGTTTCGAATGACGTTTTTTTGCATTACATGGAGATTATTTAGTCGTGTGTTTACTTGTAAAGCAAAATTTTGAAAGTAGCACCTGTTTTTTCATAAAGACGTCACATAAAAGCGTTCACAATAAGCGAAAGATATACCCAACTACAAACAGATATACACAATTATAATAACAGTAAATCGAAAATAATTAGAACTATGTATATAATAAAAAACCAACAGCAAAATATATACCTATAAGGAAAAGTAATAGTATAAATTGAAGCAACTAACTTTACAATTCCGTTATAAAATCATTACATGTAATATATCACTATTTCAAATATTTAAACTTTTACCCCATTACTTAAAATAATCATCGAGTTAACTGTAAGTGAGGCAAGCATTACCTATGCAATTGCAATTACTGTTCTAATTACTTATACCACCCATAAACCGCAATAAATTTCATGATAATTACTTTCATAATTACATAAATCATTACACCATTATGCATACAGTTGAAATTAGTGCTGTCATGATAATAATAATCGGCTTGGATCACCACATGATTACTCATCACCGTCGGCTATTGTTACTGAAACGTATAAGCCTCAAATCGCGCTCTACCTCTTAATGATTACTATATTTATAGAAATTCATTAGCAGAATCATTACATAACGAATTCCACCATCAGTTTTTGAACAGCAAAGGTGAAATTAGCATTACCATAAGAATAATACTTCCTCAAAACTACTTACTTTCTTGAATCTACCTACTACTGGTTCATTATTACCTTCATTTTCGACATTTTAGTTTACAAACTACCATTAACCATTACATAGTACCATTACTTTTAGCATTACTATAATCATTACCTTTATTGTCATGATTTGTGAAACTACGTTTACCTAAATCACGACCATTGCGATTACTGATCTTACGTATTGCGATTACTGCAATTATACAGTACCATTAGTGTAATCATTACCTTGCATTATCAACATTTATAAAACGAATGTTACATAAATCACTACCATTGCGATTACTGGTCTTCAATTTAGTAGTTATAAGATTTTCAATTACCGTTATCATTACAATTATATTACCGTTATAGTTACAGTTAACAGTATAAGCACCAATTCGTGCCTTAGCCAATTTAAATACAAATAAAAATATTATATTTAACGAGTTTACACATCACTGCGTTCTCTTATCGTTATGCGGTTTTAACTTTTTTTACATACACCGTTAACCAACATAAATTTTAAAATTCGAGGTTGAATTATTTACTATCGAACTTTAACTGTCTGTATCTGTTATGCTCACAGTTGTTCACAGTTTCACAAACTAAAAATTATAAAAACGAAATCCAACAGTTTATAAGCTTTTAAGGAAACCCTCTCTCTCTCTCTCTCAATCTAAGTTATGGAGGCCCTAAGGTAATGTTACTTCGTTTAATTGTATTCAATGTATATTACTATATATGATGCCAAAAAAAAAGTTAATGAAAAGCTCACTATACACAAAATAGTTAAAGCTGAGCTTAAAAGCTATGAAAAATCGAAAAGCTCAAAAAAGCTCTTTTTTGAAAAAAACGTCATTACTCATAATTGTAGCGCTTTGCTACTACGTAAGAAATGTTAAACAAAACATAACAATTTTCAAGTATTATTTACATAAGCATATAATTGTATATTACATATTATACATATATACATACAATATATAGGTCTAAACACCAACACAATGACATTTCCACTAAGAGTGGCACAAACCCATTGAAGTTGCTTTTTGCTGATTATTTCATTCTAAACGCTCACTTATAACGCATTCATTTGTAGACATAGGTATAAAATTAATTTCTTTAATTTTTAAGATTTCTTGCATGCACGTTTTTGATAAATTGAAAAAGTTAAGAAAATATTTATTTAAAAAATAAGTAGGTTTGAAAATTTTCTTAAGGTGTTAGGTTGCTTAGTACAATTTATAACGCGCTTAAACAACATACATATATAGCACATATTAGTACACTGAGAGAAATTTAAACTCACTTAAGAAAAAATATAAGTAAATTAATAATTACATAATCCTTAGAACTCGAAACAAAAGAATTTCATATTTAAAAAGTTCTCTCACTAGCTTATAATTTTATAGTTATACTCCAGCATACATATATCGGCACGTTTTTAAAATTCACAAAATTTTTACGCATAAAGGCCATGTAAAAAAAGAAAAAAGTATTTTAGAAAAAATTTTGATTTTTAATATTTTACATATTTAGAAACAACACCACAAATGCTAGATTTTTTTCGCAGTCAAAAAATCATACAATAAGTTGGCTTTGCTTTTTGGCTAATTTTTGATTTGTTTTTCGCAGTGTTTTTTAAAATAATTTAGCTTTATTTTGAGTTTTTAGCCTTCTTAGTATTTTTATTTTTAAATTTAGCTAGAAATATACAACCAAAAAGAAAAATTTTGCTTTCTAAGCTTTTTAAGTCAAATTTTCATTAAATATTTATATTATTTTTGCTTTGTTGCGCTTTAGGACTTTAAAAATGCTTTTATTTAT